CAATTTGTTACCAATAATTGGCCACCCTTTCATTCGCTGGATAATTTCGGTAAAGAATACTATAAGTATAAGTGTGAATTACATTATGAAAATGGGTTGTTGTTTAGGGACCATCGCCACGTAATCGCAACAGTGTTTCAGTCGAAAATTCGAAGTGGGTGCATACACCTCACATGGGCATAGAAAAGACACTTGCACGAGCAAGATCATGACGTCCTGCGCCATTAGTGAGAAGTTCACGCCCAATAATCAAAAAGAAAAACTGGGTTTCTTTATAGTGGAGCGTCTATATAATAAAACCTCTACTCAGATCATTTGTAAACTTAAAGAAAATTTAAATAAATTAGGTTACCAACAGCAATGCGCTGCGATAATTCTCCATTTGTTTCGGCTGAATTTGAAAAATTTGCTGACAAGCTTAACATTATACTACAATTCTCAAGTCCATTTTATGCGCAAAGTAATGGACTTGCTGAAAAAGGAGTAGCCATCGCAAAAAATATACTTAAAAGGTGCTATGAAGCACATGATATAGAACACTACCAATACAGGATACTAGAATATAATACCATACCTGTGGCCAGCATGGAGTTAGCTCCAGTGCAATTATTTTTTGGTAGAATATTAAAAATAAGAATGCCTATTTCAAACATATTGCTTGAAAGGAAGCATATAGGAGAGGAAACCGTTAAAAAAAATATCCAAGAAAAGAGAGAGAAACAAAGCTTTTATTATAATAGGAACGCGAAATCCTTATCGGTATTGAGCTTGGGTGATCTCGTTATTTTTAAGAAAAGCGAGAGGGAATGGAATTACGGAACTGTAGTAGGAAATGTAAACGATCGCTCCTATATTATCAGGGACAGCTTTAATAACTTCTTCAGGCGAAATAGGAGGTTTATTGCCAAAAATATTGTGACTTTAACGCCAGTGAAGCGTTTTTTGAAGAAAATATTAGGACAAATGTACCAAATCCAGGTGATCTACAGGCAATTAAGATCATGGCTTCTTCAGGTACGAATGAAAACAGCAATAAAAGTTGTGAACTGGTTTGTAATGTGGATGATTCAGAAATACCAGAACCTAATGATTCATCATTGGACGAGTATGATACAGCTGGTAGTGATGAATGTGAAGCAGAAAATAATAGTAGTCATGCAAGAAGCGAAAGTAATGAGAATAGTGAGGGAAACAATGTAATAGAACAATATCACACCACGAAGTGGCAGAATAGTGCGCCCACCCTAGAGATATGGATGGGTGTAATAAAAAACAGAGCGTGTAATATATACAAGAGGTGAACACAAGATTGTAATAAGTATGAACACAGACTAACAATGTAATAGTATACTACGTTTATACGTAAGCTATTTGCAAATAAAAATAATTTGCAAATACCTAACTCACTGTTTATTCGATGGTGAAAAATTCTTTTTTAATATTGCCTGATTATAAAAAGGCAATAATATGACCATCGAAAAAGAAAATAAAGTTAAAAATGGCAACATCTTGATTATAAAAAGGCAATAAGGTGACCATCGAAAAGGAAAATAAACCTAAGAATGGCGGCGTCTTGCGCTTATTTGCAAATAGTACCACTAATCAATAATTATTTCCGTGATTTAGTTATTTGCAAATAAAAAATTAACTCAGCGTTTATACGGCAAAATTTACCATCTTGCAAATTGTTATTTGCAAATAATACGTGCGTATAAACGTAGTAGTAGTTCACATATTAGCGTCTATTGAATATGACTGTACACATAGTACAATGCAGTAACATATAATATTACATGTATTTTGTAAACGCACAGTGAGAAAAAACGCGTTGTAAGAATAAACAAATTTTATTTGATTACCATTTAAATCTAGTGAAAAGTTTTAACGAAATGGATTTTTCCATTATACATACACTACGTATAATGGAAATATTCAATTCAAATACGCCTGTATTAAAATGAAGCATTTTTCACTGCACGGATGGCGTTTTGCACGTCTCGGATGCTTTTTCATATGTAATATGGATGAAAAGCATGCACAGCGGTGACTACACATACACACATACATGGTATGACATAATGCACTAATCGCGCGCTATGATGCTAATTCAAACTCTACATTTGAAAGCACGCTTACATGTATGGATGTAGCTGAGTGTGCAAAGACGCTTGATACAATTGATTGCAGCAAAGAGGGTCCGGTTCAATTACCATCAGACGGAACATAAAATTAAGTTTTTTTTTCTTCTTAGTTACGAAAAAGCATCTGCGCGTATTTTTTTAAATTTAGCAGGTTTTTTTTTTAATTCTAAAATTGTTTTCCCTCAGTGTGCAGCAATAGGTTGGTTCTCTAGGACTTTGGTTAAAAGCTCAAACAGTCAACGACGTAGCGTAATCGATGCGCAAAGTCAGAAGCGTTAACCACTGAGCTATGTACACCCCGTAAACTCTTGTTGCTATATCATTTTCCTTATACAACCAACTACTATCGAGTGCAGCTGATTTGCCGCTATTTAAACTTGAGAGCGTGGTTGTTGTTGTCAATTCTATACATCCATTTGCTTATTTGCTTTATTATATAGTTTCAGGTAGGCTCTTCCTAAACTATGTATTTTTCAAAGTTATTGTGGCTTATTAACATTTCATTTTTAAAATTTTTATTGAGCTTTGTACCACGATTGTTCATTAGTCAATGTAATGTTAAAAACTGTTCCAAATTAACGGGGACGGCATCCAAAAACAAAAAAAAACTAAATATTAAAAATATAAGCACACGTAGGGCCGTTTTCTTAAGTAACTTTTAACTTTAAAATTCACTTTATGTTTAAATATTGCTTTAACATGTATAGTTCTGTCTAAGTAAATCATTTTACTATCGTATTTTATTTATTTATTTACATATCTATTACTGAAGCTTACAATTAAAAATAAAATTATGAGCCTAGTAAAGAAAGCTACTTATGATCAATAACACATGGCAACAAAAATGGGAAAAAATTTGTGGCGGCAAATGTTACAGCTGTTTTTGATTGACTTGTCAGTGCTGATTACGAATCCATGAGCACAAGGCTTCCATCAGCTCCAGATTTTGTGAAAAACGAGGTCAAAATGTCAAAAAATGGGGTTTTTTTTTGGCAATATATTTTAGAATCTCTAGCAAAGAAACAAAAGGTATTAGGCTTAAATTAAAGCTAGAAGACTCGACTACTATCCCTGAAAATACCATCCCTACACCTTGACCTGATGGTCACTTATAGTCATTTAGTGAACAGCAAAACCTGATTTTGTGCGAAGTTTGAGTACCCACCGCCTTCCACTTGGGCTGAAATTAAGGCTTAAACTTTCGACTACAATCGCTTAAAATACCATACCTGAACCTTAACCCTAAGGTCACTTATAGTTATTTATTTAACAGCAAAAACTGATTTTGGCAAAACTTATTTATTTTTTTCAATAGCACAGTATTTATTCCAGTATTTTTATTTTGTTCAATAAATGACATTCAGTGACCATCAGGTCAAGGTGCAGGGATAGTAGCCGAGAGTTATAGCTTTAATTTAAGCCCCAGTTAAAGGTTCTATCACCTTTTGTTTTTTGTGCTAGACTTTCTAAAATATTGCAAAAAACGCGATTTTTTGACACTTTGACATCATTTTTCTCAAAATCTGGAGCTGATGGAAACTTTATGCTTACGGACTCATAATCAGCATACAAAAGTTTATCAGAAACAGTTTTATCATTTGCCGCAACAAAATCACTGTTGCCTTGTTTAATTGTTTCTTATTATAAATTTTCAAATATGATATATTTTGTATAAATTTCGTAATATTATTTTTTGATTTGTTTACAGCCAAGAAACATACAAACGTCAAACACCGATAATAGAAATGCTTTACTTCAGACATAGCCTTATGGCTTGAAGCAACGTTTAAATATAAAGGGAGCTTTTCAATTAAAGGTTGCTTGAGAAATAATAAAAAAATGACAAACTTAAAAAACTGACGCGCAGCTACATGGAGACATTATAAATAAAAACGGCTGTACTAGAGATTTTAAACTATCGATAGTCAACAAGCACTATCGATAGTTTAACCTTTTTTGAGAAAAACTATCACTACTCATCGATAGGGGCAAAAAAATAAAACTATCCATACTATCGATAGTACCATCGATAGTTTGACACCTCTAATGTGTAGACTATGAGGCCTATACATGAATTTATGCATTACCACACATTACCTTTTCCCACTGGGTATTTATATACATACTACTTAGAAGAGAATACTAGGGGAATTAAATCCCGGCAATATTCTGTGCAAACGGCAAAAATAAAAACATATGTGACCAATTCCATCTCAAATCATGCAAGCCGACTGCAGCTATCTCCTGCAGCGAATACCTGAAGTTTCAGAATATTATTCTACTCGGTAAATGAGCGCATACGTAGGTATTTTTTATTTCGCAATATCATGAAAATTGCATGTTTTATGCACTTTTGAAAAATGACTCATCAAATTTCCATTCTCAAAAATCGAAATTTTTTTGTTCTAATTCGTATTTTAACTGACATTTGAAAATAATTATATATCTATTCGATGCTATGGGTAATGTTCTTTCGATCTGCCACTTTTACTTTTTTTTACAAAAAAATTAAGATGACATTACACATTTCATAAAAAATTATAAATTCATTTTTTCAAAAAAGCCATCTTTTTTTTGGTTAATTTTTTTTAAAGATAGCTTGTCTAAATACCTCTATTTTGGTATATCTATTTTGGTAAATGTTGGGCATGCCATTATAAATGAAATGTGAGGAGGTCCCATCGATACCACATCCGCAAAAAATGTATTCGAGGTCAAAAGTCTCATAAGTTGCTTTTATGCATTTTTCAGCCAAACTTTCAAGTGATTCGTAAAGATAGCTTGCATGATTTGAGATGGAATTGGTCATGTACTGTAGCGGAGTTCAAGTTATCCACCACATATAAATTGTATTCTTACCCGCTGTGCTTTACGCTTATCGGCCCGTTGATTTTGATGATATATTCTGCTAAAGTTTGATACAATAACAGGTACAGGTAGAGCGATCACAAGGACTCCGCTGAGCGAACAAACTCCTCCTACAATTTTTCCAGCAATAGTTTCAGGCACCATGTCACCGTAACTAGAAACAAAGAAAAAATTACCTTAAAAAATTTCTTATTTACGATTAGAAGGTTGAGTATACAACTGAGTTATTCACAAGTTGTTATAACAGTCATAAATTTTAAAACGTTTAAAATTACATTGCGTTTGCTATAAATGACCCAAAAATATTCACTTTTGTAAAATTATATTCAACGATTTTTTTTGAGCTTGAGGGCGTTTTTAATGAAAAACTATTTTGGAAAAGCAACAACAATTTGAAAAAATGGTAGAAGTGATAGCTATTTCGGAAATCACTACATTTCCTCATCAGACTTCTTCGGCGGGCTTCGAACCGACGACCCTATCTGACTCAGCCAGTAGCCTACGCACTGTGCGTGAGCGAAGGAAAAATCAGGACACTGCATTTTTGAAAGTTAGCATGATCACTTTCTTTTCCATCAGACTTGAATTTTGAAATGATTATTTTTACCCTCAATGGTAAGAATTGAGAGTTCTCAGTTGAGAGTTGTGGGATGTAGGCAATTGCAGCAAATTGCAAGCGATGCTGTGAAAATCCTTTCCAAGGTCGCCAACAAAAGCTCAACACCTTCTTTAAGTACACTAGGTAGGATGCCAAGGATAAAACTTAATAGCATATCTTATGGCATCTTCATTCGCCACAGCTCCTGCAACAAGCCCGTTGTGCCTTGACACAGTGGTTCTCTATTTATGTGTGTCAATCGAAAAATTTTGTACGTGTATTGCAGTTTCGGTCTTTCTAGTTTTGCATGGATGTTATTATGTGAACGATGTACAAAAAAAAGCCCCTAACGATATGTTTACGCAGTAAAAAGTTTCTAAAAGGTCAGCTTTGTAAAAATCAGGACAAATGAAAAATCAGTCAGGACAATTTAATTCGGCCCTGAAACCAGGACATGTCCTGATAAATCAGGACGTCTTGTCACCCTACTCCCATAGTAAAAAATTAATAAATATTTTGTTTAGTGAGATACTGGTAATCGATTCAGGTATATTTTGTCCAACATAGAACAAGAGTAATCGCTGCTTACTCAACTCAGTTATTTTTTTATGGCACTCTTCAAACCAAGAATTTTTGATGAAACATTTTTTACCGCTACCTTTTTCAATAAACAATTAAATATAACAAATAAAGAAAACATATAGCGCATTCAATTATCTATCTATATATATAAAAGCGAATATCTGTTGGTCTATTACCTTATAACTTCTGAACCGCGACATGGAATCGCACGAAACTACGCACACTTATTTTCTTTTACCCCGGGAAGGTTATAGGCATAGAGAAAAATGGTCAGTACTGGAAAAGAGGGCGTGGCACCTCCTATACTAACTAAAATGTTCATGTTGTATATCTCTTGAAATATTTGTGGTAGAGCATTGGAACTTGGTGTCGACATAAATAAAATTAATTCCATACTCAAGGATAAAAATGGGCTGTATTGGAAAAGGGGGGTGGCACCGCCCATAGGCGTGAATTATTTAATCAGATCTAACTTCGGAACCGTAAGTCACATGCACTTTAATTTTGGTATGCAAACATATCTACGGTAGATTCTTATATTAAGGTATACATAAATGAGTTTGTAAAAGGGGGCGTGGCACATAACATAGGCGTGGAGTTTCTAGTCAGCAATAACTTCGGAACCTTAATTCACAAGAACTTGAAATGTGGTATGCAGACATATCTATGGTAGGTGCTTGTAGTAAGGTATATATATAAATTAGTCTGTAAAAGAGGCGTGGCACATCCCAAAGGCGTGGAATTCTTTATCAGCTGTTAGTTCGGAACCATGTCACATGAGTTCGAAATTTGGTATGCAGACATATCTATTGTAGGTGCTTATAGTAAGGTATATATATAAATAAGACTGAGTGCGTGGCAAATCCCAAAGGCGTGGAATATTTTACCAGCTATAACTTCGGAAGCATAAGTCACATAAACAAGACATTTGGTATGCAGACATATCTATGGTAGGTGCTTATAGTAAGGTATATTTAAATGAGTTTGTAAAAGAAGCACTTAACATAGGCGTGGAATTTTTCATCAGCCATAACTTCGGAACCACAAGTCACATGACCCCTTTGATTCCTTCTGACGTGGGTGAAACTCGCGAGAAAAAGCTAGCACTACATATAATAAGTACAAGTTTGAAGTAGCCTGGATTTGAAATTTTCATATGGGACCGAAAAAAATTTTTATATTTGACACAGTCTAATATGTATAAAGGAATAAAGTTCATCAAAATAAATCCTGTTCGTTTCCAAAAAGTTCAATGTATTTAAAAATTTATGAGGCTAATTCAACAATAGTCAAATGAGGTTAACCCCGATTCAGGCCTATTCTGCATGTTACGAAAGATTTTGTAACCGCTATTCTGGGTTCGGTGGTAAAGCTGTAGACAGCGTTTGAAAATGCTTTCATGTTTTTATTTCATTTGCTTCGACTTTACTGTGGCTGTGTGAATTTTCAAAGCCAACAGCAAAGCAAAAGTAAAAACAAAAACAAGTAAGAAAGTCTAAGTTCGAGCGGAGCCGAACATTAAATACCCGGCGCAAGTATTAAATATATGATTTTCACCTTTCCGAAAGCTACCGCTACATGGTAAGCCGGGGTGTATCAAGTTTGAGTAATTAGCGTCCTTAAATTTCGAAATATTGAAGTTTCAAGCATTTCTGAAATTGACCGTTATATGAAAAGCGGCCTCAATTTTAGTCCGATTCCAATAATTTTCAACGTTTTGCTTTTATGTGGCAAGCACAATAACCATACCGAGTTTAGTATAAATAGGTTGAACGGTTACCGAGATACATATGTGTGATCTTAAGTGTGCGGTGCCACGCCCATTTTCAAAATTTTATCACAAACGTATTTCTTGGTAAAGAATTGTTGCAAGCATAAATTTTGAACAAATTAGCTTTAAGATTTACTGATTTATAGAAGATTTCGTATTTCTCCAAATTACCCTTATTAGGGATGTGGGCGTGGTTATTCTCCGATATTAAAAATTGTCGGCCATTTGGTATGCTGTAGCAAGGCCAACAACAGTGCCAAGTTTGGAAGAAATTCGTGCAGCGGTAACCATAAGTGGGCATGGTTACGCCCGTTTTCCAAAAATTTATAACATTCTTATTTTTCGTCGAAAATTTATTGTAAATATCAATTTTGAGTGAATAATCTTCAGTAGTTACCAAAATGTCGCAGTTTTCGTATTTCTGAAAATTACCGTTATATGGGAGGTAGGCGTGGTTATTGTCCGATTTTGCCCATTTTCAATACCATCCGTCCTACGTCCGAAAGAAGTGCACGTACAAAGTTTCGTTAAGATATCTCAATTTTTACTCGAGTTATCGTGTGCACAGACGGACGGACGGACAAACAGTCACCGCTTAATTGATTTCTCTCTTCATTCGGATCATTTATGTATACCTTTGTCTATATCTATCTCGATTCGTTTTGCCTGTTACAAACAACCGTTATGTGAACAAAGTTATAATACCCTTGAGCACAAGTGTGCTCGGGTCGTTTTCAATGTGTTCAGAACTTTAATGTGCTGTAAAAATCCTTGCAGATTTCTGAACAGTTCTCAACGACATTCATCACACAAATATGTAGATATGAACTTGCAATGCCTCTAGTTAAATATATAAGCTAAGATAACTTTTCATAATCGAATATTATTATTTAGGCAAAAATTACTTAAGCATATCGACACTTGAGTGGAATGTCGACCTATCTCGGCAGACATTTCGAAAACGCCCTATCTCAAAAAACGTTTCAAGAACGCCGTATTGCAGAATTTTGTTGAAAAACGCCGTATCTTAGAATTAGGTTCAAAAACGCCCTATCTCAGCCCATTTTCAATACATTTTCATTTGAGATAGGATATTTTTCAACCGAATTCTGAAATACGGCCTTCTTCAACCAAATTCTAAAATACGGCGTTCTTGAAAACACGCCCTATCTCATCCCATTTTCAATAAATTTTCATTTGAGATAGGGAGTTTTTGAACTGAATTCTGAGATAGGGTGTTTTTCAGACAAATTCTGAAATAGGGCGTTCTTCAATCAAATTTTGAAGTAGAGCGTTCTTGGAAAGTTTTTTCGTTTTACTGTAATTTGCTTGGCGATGCAAATTTATATTATTTTTCATTTCAAATTTGCAGAGACTACATGTATACACACTGTTTTCCCAATGTCTTTATTAACAAAATATATCTCCAAATCAGGATTGCCACTTTGGTAAATTATAACACAAAACCAGCTCCTGGGTAGCCTCTGCTACTTTTGCTTGTCTCCTGTGACGCTTATGCCCACAAAACACTGTGGGGAAGTACTGACACTAATGAAAAAGGTGAGTCATTATTAGACTTAATTCTAGCAAATAAACTTAGTGTTATGAATTTAGGCTCAGAGCCGACCTTTATAACAAAGAACAGAGAAGAAGTTCTGGATATAACGCTGACTTCTGACATGTTTGCTTATAACATCAAGAGATGGAGAGTCTCGACTGAAGATTTCTACTCTGACCACCGTTACATTGACTATAAAATAGATGTTGGGACCCCCCCAAGTCAGCGAGTTTAGAAATATACAATAGACAAAGGGGAGTTACAACAAAAAACTAAAGATGCCTCTCCAAGACCCCACCACGCGTGTGGACGGATTGGTTAATCAGGTAACTAAAGCCATGAATAGTTTTTTAGCAGCCGGATGTCCGGTTGTTCGCCACAGAAAGAAAACAAAACCACCCTGGTGGACAAAATTTTTATCTTCGTTACGTGAATTCAACAGGACACTTTTCAACAGGGCTAGAGCCACGAGAACATTCGAGACTGGGAGCCTACAAGGCTAACTTGAAAAGATACAAAAAAGCAGTTAGAACTGCGAAGCGTGAATCCTGGCAAAACTACTGCAAGGGAATAGAGGAAACAACGGAAGCGGCCAGATTAAGAAGAATTCTTGCAAAGTCGTCATGTTACCTGGGCTATCTTAAG